TCAGTCTGACGGCGCGCCGCAGTTTGCGCAGCGTGCACTTATTGAATCTGTGTGTGTGTGTGTGTGCGCGCGCGGCACAGCTCCATGAAGCTTGGTTTATGCTTGACGCATTCACTTTCCGCTTGGTGATGCGGCTCGCGGATAGAACACGCTTCACAACTTGCAGCGTTTAAGTCACTGTGTCTCGTTATTGGTTCTATTTAAACCAACGTTGTAAAATTACTTCTGCCCAGCCCAGATGTGCTCCCTTGTGCACCCGTGAGCTGTGGTTCCGCTGGCACGCGTCTGACCTCTGACAGATGCATTCTGAACTTCAGATCTTCAGCGCGCTGTCAATAGCCTGAATGGGAATCATTTCTTGTTATTTAGTTACATCCACAATGTTCTGTGTGTGAGGTTTACAATGTCAGAACACCTGCATGAGACAGGTGTTAATTACAATCTGCCAGAATGACTCACCACCTTCAGATTTCTCCAACACCGTTAAAAATGATCAAATACGGAACATATCGGCGTGCGCAGGCCAGAGTGTTGAAGCTCGGCGCATTGTTATTATGAAGTTAGGGCACATGTGGAGGACACACACACACACACACACAAATATACTTGTTTTCAATTACATTTATTGTGCCCACTTACTTTTTCTTTGGCCCACCCACAAATGAGTTTCTGGCAGCGCTAATGGTGACACCTGACAGACTTCTCTGAGCTCCGCAGCCATTACACTTTTCATCTCGCGCACCCCCTAGCGGCAGCTCGCGCACTTTGGGAATCCCTGCTCTAGGTTTTGCAGCCGAGGGAGAGCAACTGCAGCGCCTTGCTCCAAAATCTGCGGCCGCCTTGATCTCACAAGGTTATCGTTGCCTACGTATGCATGACGTCAGAGCAAGTCGGCGTCAATTCGGACACAAATCTAACCGGCATGCACTGCTCGCCGATCACCGCTGGTCTAATCTGCGCAGAACTGGCTCATCTCCAACACAGGCAACGGCTTGAGTACAGCAAAGCGGAGTTGGTGATGTACTGCGTTGTATGGCGGAAGTATGCGACGACTAGGGATGAGTACCGAATTCGGTACTTTTTAAGGTACCGACCGAATTCCATAGAACCGACCGAACACCGATTCACGTCAATTCAAACGGTGCCTCGTTTCGGTACTGCCAAGACAGTTGCGCATGCGCAAGAGCGTTATGTCGCCGGTCCCTGCGAGCCCGTTGTAAACAGAGCAAGCATGGTAGAAAGAACGCACGCTAAAGCTTGGGTCCACTTCACTAAATGTGGTGGATAACTGGGTGATGAAACTAGCGACAGACAACGATCTAAGTGAGACATCCTCATCTTAATCTGCTCCAGTAGGTAAATAAAATGTTTAAGATAACGTTACCTTGATTTGTTAGCTTCCGTTTCGCTAATGGTGCGTTCGCTTTCTCCTCGGAACTCCGAATTTCCGACTAGAAGAACATGAACGCGCTCTAAAGTTTGGCTTTACTTTACTAAATGCGACGGGTGATTGGGTGAAGGTAAAACCAGTGACAATTATCTAAGTTTGAGGCATCATCGTTTTAATCTGCTCCAGCAGCGAAATAAACTGTTAAAGATAACGTTAGCTTGATATGTTAGCTTCCATTGCCACCATTGTTATCAGCTAATGGTGCGTTCGCTTTCTCCTCGGAAATTCTAACTTCCCAGTAGGAAAAATCAAATGAAAAAGGACGGCAAAAGGAATGAAGATACACAGTAAATTTAGTTCACAGTAAAGATGTTTGCTTCAGTTTAATTATCAGCTTATAAAACTACAAGGACGATGTTAAAATACAAACTTGTATGTTATTTATCGTGATATTTATCAAATATGGTTATATATTGAGAAAAATATCTATTTAATTATAAAAGAGAATTAAAATAATAAACACTCAAAAGTATCGAAAATTGGTACCGTTAAGTACCGGTATCGACTCGTAGGTACCGGGAATTAGTACCGGATCGATTCAAATGTCAAAGGTACCCATCCCTAGCGACGGCAAAATCATGTTTTGTTGAGGGAACAAACAAATTAAAACTTGAATACGTTATTATGTTTGTGAATGTGTACAAAATAAAGGTTTATTACATTTAAAATGGTTCAGTTGTTATTTTGACTCATTTTGGCAGCTGACCAGCGGGGCCGATAGATTCTTGGCAGGGCCGGTAAATATTCAGAGTTACCGGCCCAGCTGGCTGGTTGGTTTTGAAGTTAATGTCCACCCCTGTACATTATGATGTCACAATGTTGTGAGTGTGTGTATTTGTCATCGACATTAACATATGTACAATGAGTTTCCATAGGCTCCAATAACAAGTTTTTGTACTAAAATGGGAGGTGGCCACCACCGCCATTTTGACCGTGTCACCGGTTCCGTCAAGGCCAGACAATTCCATAAAAGGGAAGAGAGGAGGAGCTGAGGGTGGGGCTGCAAGGCTGGGATCAACTCAAAATCTCGGAGCAGTTTCCAAGCCAGGCCGAGTCTCAGACTGAGGCTTTTCCACGGAGCTAGCTCTGTGGTCACGTGTGTCGGATGCTCATTAATTATACAGAATTTTAGTCTTTAAATACACTTAAACAGAAGAGTGAGAAAAAAATTCACCCCCTCAGAGTTGTCATGAGTGTAAACTAGATCATTTAAACCAAAAACATGTTTTGGTACCAGGCTGTAAACATGTTTATTTCTGCTGTGAAATTGGTATTTTTTAACATGGGAGTCAATGAGGATTTGCTCGCTTCTGACTCCAGCCCCTAGTGGATGAGGGTGGAACTGCAATTTTTGGTACTTCCGGGTTGGGACCGATTTTAGAGCCGCATTGTGGGGGCTTGGTATTTGTTTGTGGCTCCACCCTGTCGGTGTGCTAGGCAACAGCATTTGTTGCATTTTTCAAACAGGAAGTGGGAGTTGAGTAAGAACCTGGTCATGGGTGACTTGCTTTTTAAAATTTAGGATTGTTTTTACAATTATACAAGTTTAGCAAATTGATGGTTGCATAAGATTCTAAAAGGTGTGAGTGAGTGAGTGAGTCTAATTCTGTCTTTACTGAGTACAGACACATGATAACATAGAAATCCATAGTGTTTGTGTTGCTTTTCTAATAGTGCTGTCATGTATTTTATGTTTCAAACAGCATTCGCTATGCCTGGCAAAGAGTCCAAACGCAAGGCGGATGCTGCTAAGCGCAGCAATCGTCCAGCTCCGCCTATTCGTATCGGGATTCCAACGCACAGCAATGATGATGTTAATTGTATGTATTGCAGTATTATTTCGCAGAACAAATTATTGTAGTGTTTTGCAATTCATTTAATCTATACTGTATTTATGTAAGATGAAAAATTATTAGCCAAAAAGATTGTTAATTTTTGTGTGTGTGTTTTTGTTTTGTAAGTTTCTGGAACTGGCTTTCGTCATCGAGTTCGTCGTTGGCCGACCAGTGTGATTTCTAACAAAGCTCACAAGCTGGTCCTTCCAGATGAGATTCCTGACAAGAAAGTGAGTGTAATGTCCACAAATATTTAAAATGTAAATATAGATTTTCTTCCAATAATATCTAGCAGTACTCTGGGATTCTAAGGATACGGTCAGATGGTGTTGAAGCCGTTATCAGTTACAGTGCTGCAAACAGACTGAATCGGCTTCTTTTTGACATGTGCCTAAAGTCTACCAACTTTTGAATCTTAATAGAAAACCTAGTTGTGTTCATCTTCCTTTTTAGTCGGTGCTTCTCAATCTGTGATTTAGAACTTAAGCTGCTCAGTTATTTTTACATATCTTTATTTGTATTTATGTTGGTGTATTCTGTGATTAGTTTTACCATTTCATGTTTTATTGTTTGTAAACTTTGACTGTTTAATGTGATCTCTTTCTTCCTGAAAAGCATATTGCATTGCCGTTTGTATGAAATGTCATAGAAATACAGATTGTTTTATATTGAAATGTATGTATTAATTTTTCTAATTTAGTTCATCCTACTTGTTGGGGACTCCCACTTGAGGTCCGTGGCAGACGGCATAGTCCCTATGCCGGTTGGCGGCCTCGCTTTTGGTGTGATGTCCACTCCAGGAGCTTGTGCAGATCTTCTGCGCCTTGAGGTTTCACAGGCTGTGTTACCTCGGGAGCCTGATGCTGTTTGCGTCATGGCTCCTTCTAACAACCTTACGGCCAGCAGAACAGTTGAAGAGGCAGGGGATGCATTTGAGCGGTACCTTTTGGCTGTTCTCAGTCGCTGGCCTAAGGTGAGAGGCTGATTTGTGTAATTTTGAAGGTATGAGAAATGACAGTAAACGTACATCTTTAAAAATAATTGTATTCTTTCTTCTTCTTTTTTTTTTTATTTTTTTTTTAGGTTTTCTGTACCTCCATGATTCCCCGTTTAGTTGGTTCCTGGGAGCGTCAAGACCTGTTTCAGCAGGAGTACCACCGCAGATCGGCTAAGCTAGGTAAGTTGCAACATAATTAGATGAAACGGTAGTATTAACGACAAGCGTTATTGCTATTTACTCTTAGGTATCAAACAATCACAATGTATAACTTTACATGAATTTTTTCCTTCTGCTTCGAAGGTGTAAGTTATGTGCCGATCCACGATCACCTACCCAGGTACCGTCTTAAACTGTGGTGCCGTGATGGTGTAAGTATATTGCTTGGAAGAAAACAAGGTAAAGGTTCTTAAGTTTGAGATGATAAATTTGTATTTTCTTTTGTTCGTGTTTGTGGTTGCAGATCCACCTCAGTGATAATCACGGGATGCCTATACTCACGCAACTGATGTGGAATGCCTCCTATCAGTTCTTGGAGACACACGCACCAAAGCCACTGGTGCAGCACCAGGTGTCTCGTCCGCAGAAAGCGAGTATTGTGCCCCGTGTGGTTGTGAAGGGTGTGGAACGCATTCCACCTCCACGCCCTTCCGAATGGACGTTTGTGAGACCTAGCGGGAAGGTGAGAGACTTTATAAAGTATAAATATTGTAAAATGTTTATAATTTTAGGCAACTGGGCCAGTAATGCTTCTAAATGTGTTTTCTTTTATTTACCATTGCAGAGAAACCATTCAGGGGAATTTGAAAAGACTTCTAATTCCCCCAAGAAACGAGTGGTTGTTTCTAAGGTTTGTGAATGTTTTTGATTGATCTTTTTCAAAGAATTTTGATTAGATGATAATATGTGGTGAATTTTCTTCAATAGACTGATGACACTTCAGTGGCCTTGAAGGAGTGTTTCATCCCCTGAATCCCGTTAGGTTCTCACCTTCAATTCTGGCTGCCATGGACACGATTGCTCCAGCGGATGGTCCCACAGAATTACAGGTAACTTTAAAGCTAAAGTTTATTATTATCTTTTAATGTAATGTTGTTCCTGATGCTTGTAATATGGGCTGTCTGTATGGTATATTTGAAAGTATTGTACTTAACCGTATTATTTTCTGTTTGTAGACTACATCTGTGCGACATTTTAAGAAAGCAGCTAGGCGTGTCCAGCAGGAGGTTGATTCATTAAATTATCTGGCATACAAATACATTGTGGTGTTATTTTTCTTCACCGTTGTTGTTCTTGAATTATAGGTTGCATCCACACCTTGCATAAATCCTCTTGCAGACGTGGAGTCTGTTCGGTCTAGGAAGGAGGTAAGAAGCGTGTGTTTCAAATATAAAAACTAAACTAATCTTTATTGACGATGTATTGACCTTTAATTTCTTCTGTATAGGTGTTGGACTGTGACCAGCTGCCTTCACCCCACCATCAGGAGGCATCTGGTTGTCCGGGGTCTGTCTCTGGGTCTGTTGCTGCCCATGCTGTGATGCTTCCTTCTGGCCATCACGCGCATGCATCACCCAGAGGTCAGTCTGCTAACACCCCTTCTTGCGTGCGTTCACAGGTTTTGCTGTCGTCTCTAGTTCCAGAGACAACTGTTCAAAATCCTGTTGTAAATAATTTTGATGAAGATAAAACAATTTTACACAACGATGATACAATTTTAGACTCTGTCCTAGGATCATTTCATCAGGGCGATGGGCGTTTTAAATATGGGGGAGTTCAGTGTGCAGCTATTACTGTTGTTGCTTTAACAAAGCACAAACAGAAGAGTGTTTTCTCTTGGGATTTTGCCGTGTTGGATAACGTTGTTGAGTTAGGAGATGAGCTGTACACAGATTTGCGCGACAACAAGAAGATTAGAGGTGGACATGAGTTTCTCTCTGTTCCAGACTTGCCAAAGGAAATTGACATGGAAGAACAGAGTTTTAAGCTTGTTTACGGGGATTTCGTTTTAGGAGATGTAGATGTAGCTGAAGGCGAGTTAATAGATGCTGGTGTGTACACTCCTCTCCTGGATGGATTGAAGAAGATGTGCACACAGCATGAAACTTGCATTATGACATTAAGTGGCAATACTTGTGCTATCATTTGTGATAATGGACGTTATGCTGTAGTAGATTCCCATGCACGCTCCGCAGACGGCATGGTAGACCCGACAGGACAGAGTGTAGTTCTGTACTTTGCGAACCTTGATAATGTTTTTCAACATTTTCAGAGGTTTGCTAGTGAACTGGTGGGATCTCAGAGGTTATTTGAGATCACTGGAGTGGATATTGTTCAGATGGACACATTTAAAAATGTATCTGAACAAACAGATGACATTGACATAAACCCTGTTATTTTTGTTAGTGATGCTAGTACTAAAGATTTTCATTTCAGTCCCGTTTCTACAGACGTGTCACAGGCGTTGAGTAAATGTCTGAATGTGAAGTCTGCGATGGTTGAATCATCTCCTGTTCCTTCATGTAGCACAAGTGTGGTTAACGTTGATGATGACAACAGTATTGTAAACAATGATACAATTTTAAGCTCACTTACAGGATCATTTAATCAGAGCGATGGGCGTTTTAAATATGGCGGCGTTCAGTGTGCAGCAATAAGTCTTGTTGCTTTAACTAAGCACAACATACAAAGTGTTTTTTCATGGGATTTTGCCATGTTAGACAATGTTGTTGTTTTGGGCGATGAGCTGTACACATATTTACGCGACAGTGATCTAATAAGTGCTGGGAATGTGTTTCTTTCTGTCCCAGAATTGCCAAAGGAAATCGTTATGGGCAAACAGACTTTTAAGTTGAATTATGGGGATTTTGTTTGTGGAAATGTAGATATCGTTGAAGGTGAACTTATAAATGCTGGAGTGTACACTAGTCTTTGGGATGGTTTGAATAAGATGTGTACACAATATGAAACATGTTTTTTTACACTTGGAGACAATACTTGCGCTTTACTTAGTGAAGATGGACATTATGCTATTGTTGATTCACATGCTCGTTCTGCAGATGGAATGGTTGACCCAAACGGTAAAAGTGTAATTCTATACTTTAGTAGTCTTGACAATGTTTTTAGATATATTCAGAGGTTTGCCAGTAAATTAAATGGAACTCAGAAGTTGTTTGAGATCAGTGGAGTTAACATTGTTCAGATGGACACATTGAAAAATGTTTCTGAACAAACAAGGTTGCCTCCAACAACAGGAAAGGAGGTTAGACGTGAAGAGTCATTTCCACTCTCGGAACCAAAAAAGTTACAGACAGATGACACCGACATAAACCCTGTTGTTTTTGTTAGTGATGTTAGCACTAAAGATTTTCATTTCAATCCCATTTCTAGGGACGTGTCTCAGGTGTTGAGTAAACGTCTGAATGTGAAGTCGGCAATGGTTGATGAATCATCTCGTGTGATTGGTGAATTGGGTGTACCATGCATGAATAAATCAATAGTGGCAGATGGAAACTGTTTTTTTAGAGCACTTAGTCAAGCTGTTTCTAGCACCCAGGAATATCATAGAAAAATCCGTCTTGCTTTGGTCAATCAGTTAAAAAAGAATCCTCAAATGTATCAAACCATTTTAAGAAGTGAGTATTCCTCGGTTTCGCAGTACCTCACCTCATCCAGGATGCAGTACGTTGGCAGTTGGGCAACTGAAGTGGAAATTCAAGCTGCTGCTGATTATTTTGGCATTAACATATTTACTTACTGTAATGATAAATGGCTTAAATATACATCCAACAGCATCTTTTCACAGCAGGCTGTTTATTTGGAGAATAGTAATGGTAACCATTATGAGACAGTGGTTTGTGTAAAACAACCTAACACAGGAACTTGTTATGGTTATTGTGGCCCTGTAAATAGTATTTCTGGTAGATACAATACTCGACATGCCCCTACAGAACATTTAAAATGTTCAGTAGAAACTGTCACACTTGAGCCGAGTTCCATAGATACAGATGGTGTTAGTGTTGTTCATTCAAATACTTTATTTACTCCTCTGTCTGCAGATTTTTGTAAAACTCTGTGTAATCGGTTGAAAATAGATTTTGAGAAACACAATTCTCAAGAATCCACATCAGGTGGGCCTTTAGGAAATGTGTGTAAGACAGAACATATTATTGAAGATGGTAACAGCTTTTTTAGAGCTGTAGCTCATGTAATTAGTGGGTCACAGAAGGGCCATCGTAAGATCAGACTCGCTGTTGTTTCTTATATGTCCAAAAATGCTGAAGAGTGTGAGAAGTTTCTGGGAAAAGAACATGCTTCTGTGTCAGAATACATAAAAAAGTCACAGATGAATTATGTCGGTCACTGTGCTACAGAAGTAGAATTTAGAACTACAGCCAGTGTTTTAGGATTACCCATATTTATCAACAATGGCACAGAGTGGGTCAAATATAGTTCTCAAACTGGTAATTTTGTCACTGAGGGACTATATTTGTCAAACTGTAATAATCATTTTGAGCCCGTTCTTTGCATAAGACTGGGTAATAAAGAAACATGTTTTGGGTTTTGTAAAGTTGATTCTTTGTCAGACAACGTAAACAAATGCAGAAGGTCAACTATGATGCAGTTAAATGCTGACCCAAACATGGAAAAGATGAAAACGAGGAAGAGTTTTTCCAGATATTTAAAGCAAAATAAGGCTTATGCAGAAGCCTCTAATTATAAAATGGTAAGTGCAGTTAAAGACAAAATAAAAAGTCAGAAGAAAAATGCATACAAGCAAAATGTTGCTTACAGAATGAAAAAGATCAGCACAACCAAATTTAAATACAAATTTCTTCTTGCACATAAAGAGAAAGTTAAACATAAGGCCAAACATAGGTCCATTTTCAACTATCATCATAACTTGGCTCATCGAGAAAAGCTTAAACAGATGAGTGTGTATAAGTACCATCAGAATTTGGCTCATCGAGAGAAGCTTAAACAGATGAGTGTGTATAAGTACCATCAGAATTTGGCTCATCGAGAGAAGCTTAAACAGATGAGTGTGTATAAGTACCATCAGAATTTGGCTCATCGAGAGAAGCTTAAACAGATGAGTGTGTATAAGTACCATCAGAATTTGGCTCATCGTGACAAAAAGAAAAAAATGAGTAAAAAGAAATACCTTAATATTGAGCATAAAACATGTTTAATAGAAAGTATCCAGCATAAAAGAAAGCTGATTAAAGTAAATTCACAAAACTTTAATTTTGTTGTAGATCAATTTTTAGAGAAGGTGAAAGATGGACCTGATTTTGTGTGTTGTGTCTGCTCACGGTTGTTGTTTAGACATCAGGTCTTAAATTGTAATCAAGAATACTATAGAAAAACCAAAGAAATGTCACTTATAGCAGATAAATGTATAAGTGACAATCATCTACACAAATGCAATGATGCCTGTAGATTACCTTGCAAATTGAATGTATGTAGAAATAAATTGATAATCTGTTACACGTGTCATTATAAAATTAGTAAATGTCAGATACCCCCAGAAAGTTCAATCAACAAGCTGACTGTTGATCCCATCCCACCTCAACTGGCATGTTTAAATACATTAGAGCAACATTTAATAGCGATGAATATACCCTTTATGAAAATGTTGGCTCTGCCCAAAGGTGGTCAGAATGGGATTCATGGTCCTGTCACTTGTGTACCTGCAAATATAGTGGAAACGTGCAGTTTGTTACCACGTACCAACATGGAGGGGTCTTTATTACCTGTAAAGTTAAAACGTAAATTGACATATAAAGGACACTATGATTATCAGTATGTTGACACACAGCATGTTCAGGAAGCTCTTCAGTATTTAAAACGTCATAATTTGCATTATAAAGATGTAGAGTTCAATGAGTCTTGGATTAACACATTTACTCAGGAAGATGAGTCGTCTGTCCTGCAAGAAGATAGTGGTTCTGGTAAAGATGAAGATACTTGCATAGATGGAGAAGATGAGTTATTGCATGACAGACAACAGCACTGTATGTTTCAGGACACCTGTCTCATGCCAGTAGATATAGGACAAGAAGCATTGGATCAGTATGTGGATAACATATTAAATGTAGCTCCAGGTGAAGGTAACAATCCAGTGAAATTGCTTTCAGATTTTACAAATGAAGCAAAAAGTTTTCCCGTCTTGTTTCCTTCAGGATCGAATACTTACTATGAAAGCAGACAATTTCGTTTGACTCTGAATCGGTATTTCAACAACAGGCTTCTTCATGTCGATGGTCGATTTGCTAACAATGTAGAATATATATTTTTTGCACAGTACATGTCTGAACTAGAGCAAGTTGTGTCCAAAGTTTCTATAGCTTTGCGTAAAGGTAAAAGCGGTGAATCTCAGAAGTTGGGTAATTTGATACAGGATCAGGATTCTTTAAATAAGCTGTTAGAGTTTGATGATGGCTACCGGTTTCTTAAACCAATTCGCGGCACACCTGCTTTTTGGCAATCTGCTCAGCGAGACCTCCTGGCTTGTGTAAAAATGTTGGGCAAACCTACTTGGTTCGCATCATTTTCGTCGGCAGATTTGAGGTGGACTAACCTTCTTTATAGTATTTTGAAACAGGAAGGCAGAACAGAGACAGTGGAACAGCTGGAGTGGGCTGATAAATGTGACCTCCTACGTAGGAATCCAGTAACTGCTGCCCGAATGTTTGATTTTAGATGGCATGTCTTCTTAAGGGAAGTGCTAATGTCTCCTGCCAATCCCATTGGTAAAATAGAAGATTATTATTATCGTGTTGAGTTCCAGCAGCGTGGTTCTCCTCACTGTCATTGCCTTTTCTGGGTTTCTGGTGCTCCCATTTTAGATAAGAACACAGATGAGGAGGTCATTGCATTTGTTGATGAATATGTCACATGTGAACTTCCTTCTGAAGACGATTCACTACATGAAGTCGTCTCATCTGTCCAGCAGCACTCCAAACGGCATTCAAAGACTTGTAGAAAGAAAAAAACTGTTTGTCGTTTTAATTTTCCACGGCCTGCATCTGTTAGAACTTTTATTAGTCGTGGTGAAAAGTATCAAGATGCAGTGAAGACTTGCAAGTGTGATAAAACAGATAGCACTGTACAGTGTGCCTGTGCGTCTCAAGATAAAGCTCGTAAACAAGAAATGGACAAAGAAGTAGCAAGTGCCATTTTAACTAAAGTAAAGACTGCTATTTCTAGTGAAGACTGTCCATATAACAGTGTAGAAGGTCTGTTTCAGGGCCTGGGTATCAGTCAGGAACTATTTGAGATGGCATATAAACGATTTTGTCGAAATACACATGTTGTTTTGAAAAGGGAAGTTAATGAAATCTGGATTAATCAGTATAGCAAGTTGCTGTTAAAAGCTTGGAATGCTAATCTTGATATCCAGTATTGCGTCGATGCTTATGCATGCTGTGTATACATAATATCTTACATGTCTAAAAGTGAACGGGAAATTGGCCTTCTGCTTGCTAATTCTCAAAGAGAAGCAGCCAAAGATGGTAATCTTAGTGCTAAAGAGGCCTTGAAGACTCTTGGTAATGTTTATCTTCATAATCGAGATGTTTGTGCGCAGGAAGCAGTCTACAGGCTAACTAACATGCATCTAAAGGAGTGTTCTAGGAAAGTTGTGTTTGTTCCCACTGGTGATAATATAGTGAAAATGAGTTTGCCTATTTCTGTTTTGAGGCAAAAAGCAGCATCACAGGATCTTACTTCAGATGACATGTGGATGACCGGATTAGTTGATCGTTATAAGAAGAGGCCAAATGATGATGTGTTCAATGATATGTGCCTGGCTACGTTTGCATCAGAATATCGTGTTTTGAGTAAAAACGAAAAATGTAGAAACCCTATAAAGTTAAGTAATGATTTAGGATTTGTTACAAAAAGAACTCGGACTAAACCAGCGGTTGTTCGTTACGCGCGTTTCTCTGAAACCAAAGACTCGGAGAAATTTTTTCAAAGCATGTTGCAGTTGTTTTTACCGTACCGCCATGATAGTCAACTTAAGCTTAACTGTGAAACTTTTGAGGAATTTTACAGAACTGGTTTAATTAGATTTTTTGATAGAACAAACCACTCGGTAAAGGCTGTTGTAGATTTAAATCGGAGTAAATTTGAGTTAGAATCTGATCATTTGGATGCTGTGAATAATATAGTCGGTGATGTAATGTTAGAAGATGCATGGTGTGAGTTGTGTCCGGCAGTTGAAATGGAACGTTTAGAGTGTGTTGAAATACTGAAAGAATCAGAACCGACAGTAAGTGACGAGGCAGAAGTAATCCCAGATTTGGCTCCATGTTCAAACCAAACTGCACATTTAGAGAAGAGAAACACGATGCGTAGAGGTGAAGGTCTGGCATTGATTAGGTCTTTAAATGAAAAACAGTTTTCTGTTTTTAATCAAATCAGGCAGTGGTGTGTAGATAAAGTTAATGGTAATAACCCTGAACCACTGCATGTTTTTGTTACAGGTGGGGCAGGCGTTGGGAAAAGTCATTTAATTCGAGCAATCGAGTATGAAACACAGAGATTACTGTCACCAAGCTGTAGACATCCTGATAATGCATGTGTAGTATTGACAGCTCCTACTGGGATTGCAGCATATAATTTAGGTGCAACAACAATCCACACTACACTGTCTATAGGAAAGGATGTGCGCTTACCGTACACTCCTCTGGGTGAAGAAAAACTAAATTCTTTACGTACAAAATATTGTGATTTGCAGCTTCTTATTATTGATGAAATATCAATGGTCGATCATAACCTGTTGTCCTATGTTCATGGTAGATTACGTCAGATTAAACAAACGGGTGACTTTTCACCTTTTGGAAATGTCAGTGTAGTGGCTGTTGGAGATTTCTTCCAGCTACCTCCTGTTAAAGGGAAGCCACTCTATTCTGATGGTGTAGGTAGCAACTTATGGTCAAGCCTATTTAAAGTTGTACAGTTAACTGAAGTCGTTAGACAGAAAGATGCTGTGTTTTCTGGACTGCTAAATAGAATCAGAACTCATACAAAAGGTACACCATTGTTACCTGAGGATTTAAAGGTTTTAAAAACTTGTGAAACAGGTGAGGCAAGCTCAGCATTGCACATATTTGCAACAAATAATCAAGTAAATAATCACAACATCCATCAGTTATGTCACGTTTGTCCTGATTACATATCAATTACAGCCAAAGATTATGTTAATGATAAAAGAACAGGCAAACTGAAGTTGTTGGAAGGGAATCATGCCAGAGCTTCTAATACTAACTTGTCAGAAGTGTTACAGTTGGGTAAGGGTGCGCGTGTAATGTTGTGTAAAAATGTGGATGTCATTGACGGTTTAGTAAACGGAATTTGTGGTACGTTGACGGAAATTGTAATTTTAGAAAATGACACCTTTCCTAAGAAAGTTTATGTTCAGTTTGATGACCATCGTGTCGGCTTGCAGAGGAGGAAAACCTCCCAGTCTCTGTCAGCAAATTTAGCTGGATCTACACCTATTGAACCCGAGGAGGAAAGAGCCACTGTTAAAGGTGGATTACGTCGACAATTTCCTCTTAAATTAGCTTGGGCGGTTACGGTTCATAAAGTTCAGGGACTCACTCTTGAAAACGCCGTTGTTAGTTTTAGGAAAATATTTGCACCAGGTCAAGCATATGTAGCACTTAGCCGTGTAACAAGTCTTTCAGGACTCACAATTCAGGACTTTGATGAAAAACGAATCTATTGTAAAGATGACATTACAGTTGCAGTTAGTAAAATGACCCCTTTTTTGACTCCAAACTCACAGTTCGACAGATTTAACTCTTCTGCATTCACTGTGTTTTTAATGAATGTCCAAAGTCTGAATCGACACGTTAAAGACTTAGCTTTCTGCACACAGCATTTGCAACCTAATTGCATTGCTGTCACAGAAACATGGGTATCTACAGACAGATCAGATGCAGTAAAGATTGATGGCTATAGTTTTTACAACTGCCCACGAGGTTTAGCTTATTCTAGTACTCATGAGTCTTTGATTGCTTTTCAAGAACAACAACATGGTGGTGTTGGCTTTTATACTGCAGATGGTGTGGCATTTAAAATGTTGCAGGCTCCAGACGTCAACTTGGAGAGTTTAGTGTATAGCTTTGTTAACTTACACATAGTACTTGGACTCATTTATCGACCTCCTCTTTATCCCCTTTCTTTGCTTAAAGTAAATTTAACAAAGTTGCTTGATTGGCTGGAGGTACAAAGTGAGACATTAGTACTAATGGGAGATTTTAATGATGACATTTTAAAATCATCAACAATATTAAAACTTTTGACTGACAGAGGCTATGCCCAAATAGTCAAACAGCCAACAACCGAGAAAGGCACTTTAATAGATCATGTCTATGTAAAATCCAACAAGTATATAACAGAAGCATCTGTTATTCCAACATATTTTAGTGATCATCAGGGCATCATGTGTGCTTTGACACGGCTTTAGTTTACCTCAAAAACAGCTTTGATTTGATCAACACCTAACTGCAGAATTTGTAATGTAAAGAGGTGTGTGTGTGTGTGTGTGTGTGTGTGTGTGTGTGTGTGTGTGTGTGTGTGTGTGTGTGTGTGATCAATTTTAGCTTTAACATTTACTAATATTTTACCTTTCCTTACATGAGCTATCTCTACTGAGAGCAAAATCAATTTCGTTGTACACCTATGCAATGACAATAGAACTTGTATATATATATCATACATATAGTCTGTCAGAACTTTTCTATATGAAATATATTGGATGTATTGTTTTTAAGCAGTGTACATGTTTCGATGCCGTTGAGAGGTTGTGTACACTCAGGACAACTTCGCTGCCGCGTTCCATGTGTGAGAGCAGGGGTTGCAGGACAATGTGCGCACAGGAGTGTAGCAAGATTTTTAAACTGTGGGTGCTGAAATTTCTCTGATGCATATAGGTGAGAAGTGTTACATTCGCAAAATATTTAGCTGTCATGAGAGCAACAAAGGGGGTAATAACGCGCGGAACGTTTTGGTGTCGTGCATTTGTCATGGCACTAGAATTTCGGGAGTGGTGCAGCACCACGCCTATGTAGGAAAAACCACTAACTGCTGCTGTATGCTTCACCATTTCTGTGATTTCAATTTTCATGTCCCCTACTGACCTAGTCAAAATAACATTGAGCCATTTCCCACCTTCTCTCAGCTCTAGAATGCTCTTTCCCCTTGTCCTCTGCATTAATCTCTCACCCACTTTTTAATCAAAACTAAAAACATATCTGTCCAGATCAGCAATTAATACACTAATTTTATTGTTGTAATGTGTGTGAGTGTGTGTGTGTGTGTGTGTGTGTATTTCATCTTCTTTGTTGCAAAATGTGTAGGATGTATTGGAAAGCTTTTAAACGTCTTTTTTAACATCAAAATTAAATGTGTTTAAAAGCTTTCTAAAGGTTTCGTTTCCTGCATTAAGATGGTATTTATTGAAATTAAACTGAAAACCTTTAGTACAATTGGCCTCTCATTCATCACTACTAAACGATGTAACAATTCAACACCAAATTATGCATAATGTTAAAAATTAAACTGGTGAATTTCATGCTGTTTTAATGCAGGGTTTGCTTTACCTGGTAAAATGCACAAAAAAGCAAAGGCAATGGTCTGGTCTCCCAATTGTGGGACAGGGTTCAAATCCCTGTGTTGCCCTGCTAATTGTGTTGATCACTGGAAAAAACTATTATTAAAAAAGGCAAAAAACAATAAACTTTAAGTTTAAAATCTTACTTGCTGCAATTCACCCTAGAACTAAACACATTTTGATTTCAAGGACAACTGATAAGATCACACCCATGGGCATTTCTAGCGTGCTTTTGTGAGTACTGAAGCACCCCTAAATTCATCTCTAGCACCCCTAAAGTTTAACATTTATTTATTTATTTTTACAATTTATGGTGATTTTTAAACACATATCTAAAACAATTGGACAAAACATTGTTTTACAAACAATAATATAGCAAATCTCCCCTGTCTCAAAAATGGTTTGATCGTGCTCACCTTTCCAGCCTCTACTCTGAGCCTTCCTGAGTGGCTGACATGCCATTAGGAACCACGTTTCTTTCTGTGGGACAGTCCTGAATTTACATTATTTTTCACAGGTCTTTGAATCTTGCATAAACTGATTGTGAGGCGAAAACCGCAGCTGTCAATCAAACTAGAAGGTGGGACTTTGACGCAGGTCTGGCCACTCACGAACCTCCATACCAAATGGTAACGTCAGAGTGATCCAGGACTCATGGGAGATGAGCGCAGTGGAGAAATGCTGTTACAATAAAGGCTGAAGGGTTAAACTTGCTCAGGTTCTTCAGTAATCACACAGGCTGGTGCTGAAGAAGCCCAATAATAAGCTAACACAGACAAGGTACTTGTGTTCTTTCATAGCCAAACCCTTTTGAATAGCATTTAACAGTTGAAAAATCTAATTAAATCCTTGATTATTTCTTCAGACATGTCTGAGGGAAAAAAATCAGAACATTAAATTTAAATCTTAACTTATGTCAGAGATCAAAGTCACTAATTGTTGTTTTCTCTCCTCTAAATTTCTACTGTAAGAGACTATTTGTCATTTTTGCTAAGCTACCATTCTGTTTTAGTTGTTTAAATTCTGGGGAAAAAAGACAATTTATCAAAAAAGTTTGGATTTATTTCAATGGGATGTTGATATTAGTGGAAAATTGTGAAACAATCAAATCATGCATATGTCATAAAAAGCAAACAATGTTTAAGGAAATGGTGCCATAGTGATTTAACTTGCTGAGCTAGTAAAAACATTTCCAGTGTTGTGTAATAAAATACAACAAGTTTGGCATGTTTGTGACTTTATTTGTTGATGTTGTTCAAGTTTTAATTCATCTAGATGTTGCTGTCTTTAATTCACGTAAAATCTCTTTGAGCTGTTATTGAGCGAATCAAAATCAATGTGGTGTAAATTGGTGTGAATCACACTGTATTATTTATCTAAAGCCAATTGTCTGTACAAATTATTACACTTTTAAAAGTTTGTAGGTAGCACTCTAGAGAAAATGGATCACATGCTTTAACAATTTTCACATAGTTCAGTTAGAGGCTGCATTTATAGGCGCTTACCAACTGCATAAGTTCCTAGAACCATCCCTCCAGTAAGAACATTTTCACATTGCATTCGCACAGCACTCAGAAACGTCTCACTACTAGGGCATACTCTATCTTTACCACACTGGTGATGTGATGTTCAGTCTCGGGCAAGTCGGAGGCTGTTTGTGGAAGTTACAGTCAAACGTAAGGTCACAGCGTCATGCCAGAAATCGCCATGCCCCTGCCTTTCTGAAAAGCTATCAGATCTGAATGGTCATTACAACATCAGGAAGACAGTACATGACCTTAGTGTCATCTTGACTAAATTAGAGGGAACAAATATGGGCATTTCACCATAAAACAGTTGACTTCCTGTAGTCAGGGGGCGGGGCTTAGGTGATGTCAGCTGTCCACATTGTCACTGTCTTCAGATGTGGTCAGTGATCACACAGACAAAGTATGAAATTGATCTGATCATGCACATGGGAGTTAAGTCAAATAAGGTAATGGCGACTGGTCAAAGTTTGAGGCTTAGCCACGCCCACACCTTTATACTTATTTAAAATCCGACGGTTGAATTTTTTCCTCTATGTCTTAAGAGTATATAGCAGAGGTTTGAAGGTGATCGGTGGAAAGGGCGAGGAGATATCATTCTCCTAATAACGTGTGCGAAAACCACTAAATTGAGTACTTGGACCAAAATGGCCGACCTCCTGTGCGACATTGTGCTTGGCTCCAAGAGACTTTTTTGTAGGTCCTGGTGCACTACATTAGTGTGCCAAATTTTGTGATCCTCAGTCAAAGCATGGCTTGGGGCTGACTGTTTTAATGGTCCTAGGGGGCGCTGTTTCAGAAAATAGGCCACGCCCACAAACTTCAGCTGTCCAATTCTATTAGGGGTCAGAGTAGGATCACTCATCAGAACTTGTATGGCGATGTCACAATGACTGAAGAAATGAGAGACAAACGTATTTCCATGTCGTGATGGCGAATTTCGCCATTCTCCCAAAGCCCCGCCTTTATTCGAAACCTGCCAGTACTATAGACCAAGTGACCTCAACTTGTCTGCTGCTATTCGCCACTGTTTGGTGGTGATTGGTTAAAAGGAGTCCAATAGGGAGCTGTGAAAAAAAGAGTGGCGTGGCGACAGGTCAAAGTTTGAGGCTTAGCCACGCCCACACCTTTATACTTATTTAAAATCCGACGGTTGAATTTTTTCATCTATGTCTTAAGAGTATGTAGCCGAAGTGTGAAGGCAATTGGTGAAAAGGGCGACGGAGCATCACTCTCCAAACAACGTGTGCGAAAACCACTAAATTGCGCACTTGGACCAAAATGGCCAACTTCCTGTGCGACAATGCACTTGGCTCCAAGAGACTTTTTTATAGGTCCTGAGACACCACATTAGTGTACCAAATTTCGTAATCCTCAGTCAAAGCATGGCTTGGGGCTGTCAGTTTTAATGGTCCTAGGGGGCGCTATTTCAGAAAATAGACCACGCCCACCGGAATTTCACATCAGATCTTTTGGGGGGCCAGACTAGGATCACTCACAAGAAGCTTCGTGGCGATATCTCTAGAAATGACGAAATGGGAGGCAAACGTAAGGCCTAAGCGGTACGCCTGAATTCGCCGTGCCGCCACAGCCCCGCCTTCTGCAGAAAACTCCCATAAAGTGAAGCCAAGCAACCCCAACTTGTCTTCAGTTACCCACTACAAATTTGGGGTGATTATTGGAAAGGGCGAATTTTGGAAAATTTCCCAGTAAAACTTGACCTTTTAAGTCCTGAGGGGGCGGGGCTTATGTGACATCATCAAACGACCATTCATTTGTCTTCGGAGGGCGATGACAATTGTCCACAGAACATTTCTTTAACTGTAATTCTTTCATTTATGAAATTATAGCAATTTGAATTTTTTTGGCGAGTGCTCGAACTTTGAGGCCTGGCCCCGCCCCTTCAGTATTTACGAAAAGTCAATTTTATTGTCTCATTTGAATCGTCCATCGCTTCTGTTCGATCTCGCACAATTTTTGAGACGATGGTGCGAAAAATGACCAAACTGTTCAACCAAATATAGACCCTAGAAATGGCCAAAACGGGGTCAAAATGGCCACTTTACTCCAAAATGGCCGACTTCCTGTTTGATATTGACCATGGTTGCAAGAGACTTTTCTGTGCGGACTGTTGAGTACTACAAGTATACCAAATTTCATAACTGTACGATAAACTAAGCTTTATGGAGAGGGGTATTTTTCACTTTCTAGGGGGCGCTGTTCAGTCACTTTTTGACGAACTTTCACATCGCCAGTGAAATACGTAAATTTCACGCACTTTCTATATTGGGCCAGAATTTGGTGACTTTTTGGATATGCTAAGACCCCCTAAAGGCCATTCAAAGACGCGGAAGAAAAAAGAATAATAATTAAAGCTGCAAGCAGCGTCGTTCGGCCCTCGCAGCGAAGCTGCTCGCCCTCTGTCCGCACCCCCTCCGCTCCATCCCCGACGCTCTCCAAACCCAGCTCCGCGCCGCTCCGTTCTGGCCGGCAGCCGGGGGCACCAGGGCACGTCTGGCACAACAGAAACATCAACCACCCCGACACCAGAAACCGTGAACGGCCTCCTCGTCCACACCTCACCCTGACTCAGCATCCCCTTTGAGCCCAGCATTACACGTCTCACCACTAGGAGATACTCTATCTTTACCACACTGGTGATGTGATGTTCAGTCTCGGGCAAATCGGAAGCTGTTTGTGGAAGTTACAGTCAAACGTAAGGTCACAGCGTCACGCCAGAATTTGCCATGGCATCAAAGACCCTCCCTTTCTGAACAGCTAGCAGATCTGAATGGTCATTACAACATCATGAAGACAGTGCATGACCTTAGTGTCATGTTGACTAAATTAGAGGGGACAAATATGGGCAGTTCACCATAAAATAGTAGACTTCCTGTAGTCAGGGGGCGGGGCTTAGGTGAAGTCAGCTGTCCACATTGTCGCTGTCTTCAGATGTAGTCAGTGATCACACAGACAAAGTTTGAATTTGATCTGATCATGCACATGGAAGTGATTAAGTCAAGTAACGTAATGGCGACTGGTCAATGTTTGAGGCTTAGCCACGCCCACACCTTTATACTTATTTAAAATCCGACGGTTGAATTTTTTCCTCTATGTCTTAAGAGTATATAGCAGGAGTTTGAAGGTGATCGGTGGAAAGGACGACGAGACGTCATTCTCCTAATAACGTGTGCGAAAACCACTAAATCGAGTACTTGGACCAAAATGGCTGACCTCCTGTGCGACATTGCGCTTGGCTCCAAGAGACTTTTTTGTAGGTCCTGAGACACTACATTAGTGTGCCAAATTTCGTGATCCTCAGTCCAAGCATGGCTTGGGGCTGACAGTTTTAATGGTCCTAGGGGGCGCTATTTCAGAAAATAGGCCACGCCCACAAACTTCAGCTGTCCAATTCTATTAGGGGTCAGATTAGGATCACTCATCAGAAATTGTGTGGCGATGTCACAATGATTGAAGAAATAAGAGACAAACGTATTTCCATGGCTTGATGGTGAAATTCGCCATGCTCCCAAAGCCCCGCCTTTATTCGAAACCTGCCAGTGCTATAGACCAAGTGACCTCAACTTGTCTGCTGCTATTTGCCAGTGATTGCTGGTGATTGGTTAAAAGGAGTCCAATAGGGAGCTGTGAAAAAAAGAGTGGCGTGGCGACAGATCAAAGTTTGAGGCTTAGCCACGCCCACACCTTTATACTTATTTAAAATCCGACGGTTGAATTTTTTCATCTATGTCTTAAGAGTGTATAAAAGATGTTTGGAGGTGATTGGTGAAAAGGGTGTTGGTGCAACACTCTCCAAACAACGTGTGCGAAAACCACTAAATCGAGTACTTGGACCAAAATGGCCGACTTCCTGTGCGACTTTGCACTTGGCTCCAAGAGACTTTTTTGTAGGTCCTGAGACAGCACATTAGTGTACCAAATTTCGTACTCCTCAGTCAAAGCATGGCTTGGGGCTGACAGTTTTAATGGTCCTAGGGGGCGCTATTTCAGAAAATAGGCCACGCCCACCAGATGTTGACATCTGATTCTTTTGGGGGCCGGACTAGGATCACTCCCAAGAGGTGTCGTGGCGATATCTCTAGAAATGACGAAATGGGAGGCAAACATATGTCCACGTCGGTACGCCTGACTTCGCCGCACCGCCACAGCCCCGCCTTCTGCAGAAAACTCTCATAAAGTGACGCCAAGCAACCCCAACTTGTCTTCAGTTACCTGCTACAAATCTGAGATGATTATTTGAAAGGGCGAATTTTGGAAAATTTCCCAGTAAAACTTGACCTTTTAAGTCCTGAGGGGGCGGGGCTTATGTGACATCACCAATCGACCATTCATTTGTCTTCGGGGGGCGATGACGATTGTCCTTAGAAATTGTTTTAACTGTAATTCTTTCATTTATGAAATTATAGCAATTTGAATTTTTTTGGCGAGTGCTCAAACTTTGAGGTCTGGCCCCGCCCCTTCAGTATTTACGAAAAGTCCATTTTATTTTCTCATTTGAATCGTCCATCGCTTCTGTTCGATAGTACACTATTTTTGAGACAATCGTGCGAAAATTGACCAAACTGTTCAACCAAATGTAGACCCTAGAAATGGCCAAAACGGCTAAAAATCTCCATTTCAACCCAAAATGGCCGACTTCCTGTTTGATATTGACCATGGTTGCAAGAGACTTTTCTGTGCGGACTGTTGAGTACTACAAGTAAACCAAATTTCATAACTGTACGATAAACTAAGCTTTATGGAGAGGGGTATTTTTCACTTTCTAGAGGGCGCTGTTCAGCCACTTTTTTATGAACTTTTACATCGCCAGTGAAATACGTAAATTTCACGCACTTTCTATATTGGGCCAGAATTTGGTGACTTTTTGGATATGCTAAGACCCCCTAAAGGCCACCCAAAGACGCGGAAGAAAAAAAAAAATAATAATAATAATAAATAATAATAATAAACGGAGCAGATACAATAGGCCTTCGCAGCTTCACTGCTCGGGCCTAATAAGAAGAAACGGAGCAGATACAATAGGCCTTCGCAGCTTCACTGCTCGGGCCTAATTAAAGCTGCAAGCAGCGTCGTTCGGCCCTCGCAGCTCCGCGCCGCTCCGGTCTGGACGGCAGCCCGGGGCACCAGTGCACGTCTGACAGAACAGAAACGTCAACCACCCCGACACCAGAAACCGCGAATGGCCTCCTAGTCTGCACCTCACCCTGACTCAGCATCCCCTCTGAGCTCACCATTAAATTGAATATTAAGATTACGGCGTTACGCCAGAATTCGCCATGGCATCAAAGCCCCTCCCTTTCTGGAAAGCTATCAGATCTGAATGGTCATTACAGCATCATGAAGACAGTGCATGACCTTAGGGTCATGTTGACTAAATTAGAGGGGACAAATATGGGCATTTCAGCATAAAAAATAAATTCCTGTAGTCAGGGGGCGGGGCTTAGGTGATGTCAGCTGTCCACATTGTCATTGTTTACAGATATGGTCAATGATCACACAGACAAAGTTCGAAAAAGATCTGATCATGCACATGGGAGTTATTAAGTCAAGTAAAGTAATGGCGAAAGGTCAACGTTTGAGGCTTAGCCACGCCCACACCTTTCAACTTTTGAAAAATCCGACGGTTGAATTTTTTCCCCTATGTCTTAAGAGTGTATTGCAGAAGTTTGAAGGTGATTGGTGAAAAGGGCGACGGAGCATCACTCTCCAAACAATGTGTGCGAAAACCACTAAATCACGTACTTGCACCAAAATGGCCGACTTCCTGTGCGACTTTACGCTTGGCTCCAAGAGACTTTTTTGTAGGTCCTGAGACCCCACATTAGTGTACCAAATTTCGTAATCCTCAGTCAAAGCATGGCTTGGGGCTGAAAGTTTTAATGGCTCTAGGGGGCGCTATTTAAGAATATAGGCCACGCCCACAAACTTCAGCTGTCTATTTCTCTTGGAGCTCAGACTAGGATCACTCACCAGAAGTTTCGTAGCAATATCACGATAACTGAAGAAATGAGACAAACGTATTTCCATGGCGTGATGG